CCCCCAAACCATACCCCACTCCCATAACCCCCCAATCCCCACTAACAACCCACATACCCAAACCTCCACCCACCCCCTACCCCCCCAACCCCCATCAACCCAAAACACCCACCCATCTCACATTATCAACAACCCACAAAACCACAACCACCCCTCCATCCATCTACACATCCAACACACCACCCCCCCCCTCACCCTAATCCCCCCCCCCCCAAAACCCAACCCCCCCCACCCCCCCCCCCACCCCCCCTTCCACACAACCACCCACCCACCCAACCATACCCCCCCCCCCCCAAACCAAACACCATACCCACCACCACATCCCCCCCACCACACAAACAAACATAACAAACACCCAACCCCAAAAAACCACACAAAACCACCAAACAATCCACACAAAACAAAATCCAATACCCAAACCAAAACAAAAAACATACCAAAACCCAAAACCCCACACAAACAACAAACCCACACCAACCCCAACCCCACATCCACCACCCAAAACAAACAAAAACCTCCCAACACCCACACAACAACCAACAAACATCCACAACCCCAACACCCAAAACCCAACCCTACAAACCCAACTCACCCCAAACCCCCCCACACCTCCAACCCCCCACCCCCACCCACCCCACCACAAAAACCACCACTCCTCACCATCCCAATTCTTTCCCTAAATCATCTCCCCCCACCCTCAAATATATTATATTCCTAACTTCCCCCCATCTTTCCCCTCCCTCTACCCCCACAACTCCACCCCCCCACCCAACCCTCCCTAAAACTCCATCTAAACAATCTCAACCCCTTTCCTTACCCACTATTCCTTCACATAATCTCTATCTCTAACCCCTATCCATATCCCCCCTACCTAATAAAACTCACATCTACCCCTCACCATCCCTCCAAACACTAACCCACCCAACCCTAAACCAACCACTCCCTCATTCCCACAAACCCCACCAACTCCAATATATCCCCCCTACTCCCCCCTCCTCATCCACTCTCCCCAAAACCCACCTCTCACCCCCCCCAACACTCCCCCCTCCCCATACTCATTACTTACATTCCCATCAATATAAACAATCACTACCCAACACAAATACTCATAAACCATACAAACCCCCCTTCACCCAATCCAAACAACAATCTCTTAACTCCATAAATTTCCCACACCCCCCCCTACTCATTTCTCCTTCAATACCCTACTCCTCACCCCATTCAAATCTTTCCCCTTCCCCACTCAACCAACCCCACAACCCATAATAACTCCCACCCCACCTACACATATCCCCCACCTCACCATACCCCTCCCTTCATTCACATCCTTCAACTTCTCTCCTTTACATCCCACACCTCAATATTCCCTTCCCAACACAAAACACACCATTTCCACCACATACACCTAAAACCATTCATCCACAAACTCCCCCCCCACCTAACCACCTTCAGTTAAATTCCAATAAACCACCCCACACTCACTTCCTTAACATACTATTCCCACATACCCACTCACAACCCAACAAACACCCCTTCTCATTCATATTACCTTACCCCCCCCCCCCCAACAACCCCTCTCCTAATCAACCCATACCCACACCAAACCACCAACCACAACTATACAAATTTACCCACATATCCCCAAAACCCCTACAACCCACCCCACTTAACACACAATACTATCCACAACTCCCACCATCCAAACCAACCACACCATACAACAACATAACTACACATAACAAACCCCCCCCCTATAACACACCCCATCCCATCACCTCTTACCACAAATAAACCCCAAACACAAACACACTCAACCCATAAAAACACCCCTCCCCCCCCCCACACCCATTTCCCATCCCTCCATACCACTTCCCTTCTCAAAACCAATTACATAAAAATCAAACAAAACTTATACTCCCCTCCCCTCCCCAACCTCAAACAAAACCCATCCAACCCCCCCCATCCTTTTTATATTCAAACTCCACTACCCTACAACCAATATCCCCCCCCCCTCTCTAACCTCATCCAAACCCCCCAACCTCATCAATTCACCCCCATCTCACAACCCTCCACCCTCCCACCTCAATTCCTCCAACAAACTCCCCAACCACTCCAAATATATCACAATCCCATCTCAACCAAAACCCATCAAATAAATCCCCCCCTTCACCCCATCTTATAACCCCCCTCCCTCAACCATCTTATCCACAAAACCCAAAACTACCCAACACCCCAACACTCATCCCACACATACCCACCACAACACCAATCTATAAAACAAACAACCCACCCCCTAAAACACCCCACTCCAACCATACATACCCCACAAACTCCACATTCACCCCCTACCACCTATACCAACCACACCCTCCACATACCCCAATACCACCCCACAAACCCATACTAATCTCAACTCACACCCCACTCTCCCCACCCCTCCTACACTACACCACAACCTCCAATCACCCCCACACTACCCCCAAAAAATACCTACTAATATAAACACCCCAAAACAACCCACAAATCCACACCACACCCACTCACTAACACACAATCAAAACACCAACACCCCCATACCCACCCCACAAAACCAACTACATCCCAAAAAACTACCAACACATACCCCCAACACCACCCCCCCCAACCAAACACCCACCACAATTACCACACCCCAACCACCCCCACACACCACCCAACATCCCCACCCCCCCCAACCACGCCCCAAACCCACAAACCACCCACAACCCACACACCACCCAAAAAACCTACACACACCAACCCAAACACACACCACACACACACCCCCACCCCACACCCCACACACAATCACACCACAACACCAACACCCCCCCTCACCCACCCAAACCAACAAAACCACAAAAAACCCCACAACCACCCACTCCCCAAAACCACCCCCACACCAACCCACCAACTCCCCCACAAAACACCACAACACCCCACATAACACACCCTCCACCAACACCCCTCCCCACCACCCCTACCCCCCCACCACCCCACACATACCCCACACCCCAAACAAACACAACACCACCCCAACCCAACCCAACACACACCACCCCACACCCCCCCCAAACAACACCCCCCCACACTACACAACCCAACCCCAACCCCCCACACCCCACAACACCTCCCCCCAAACAACACAAACAAACCACAACAACACCAACCCCCCCCCCCACCACACCCCCCACACCCAAGCCACCCACCACCCCCACAACCAACCCCCCCCCCCACCCACCACACCACAACCAAACCCCACCCCTACACCAACCAACATAAAAAACACCACCACCCCCACCACAACACCACACCCAAAAAACACCCACACCCCACCCACCACAACCCCAAACCCCCACCCCCCCAACCACACACCCCCACCAAACACCCCCACCCCCCCAAACCCCCCCCCCCAACCCCACACCAAAACACCCCACCACCCCCCCCCACCCCCCCCCACCCCCACCCCCCCAACACACCACCACCCCCACCCCCCCCCAACACCACCACCCCCCCCCCCCCCCACCCCCACACCCCACCCCCCCACACACCCCCAAACACCCCCACCCCCCCCCCCCCCCCACCACCACCACCACACAACAACCCCCACACCACCCCACCACACCCCCCCCCCACCACAACCCCCACAACACCCACCCCCCAACCCCACCCCCACCCACCACACAAACCCCCACACCCACACCACCCCCCACCCCCCCCCCCCCCACACAACAAAACCCCCCCACCCAACCCCCCACACCCCCCCACCTCCCCCCACCACACCAACCAAAAACCAATCCACCAACCCCCCCACACACACCCAAACCCACCACAAACAACCAACACCAACCCACCACCCCCCATCAACAACAACAAAAAAAAACACAAAAAAAACAAAAAACCCAACCACCCCCCCACCCCACCCAAAACCCACCACCCCCCCCACCACCCCCCCAACCACACCCCACCAAACACCCACCAACACCAACCACCCACCCCACCCAACCCCACCCCCCCCACCCCACCCCCCACACACCACCACAACCCCCCCCACAACCCCACCACACAACCCCCACCCCTCCCCCACCAACAAACCACACCCCCCCCCCCACCCACCTACAACACACCACAAAAACCCACCCCCCCCACCCAACACCCACAACCCACACCTCCCCAAACCCCACCCAACAACCCCCAACCCACCCCACCAAACCACCACACAACAATAAACCCACACCAACCAACCCACACAAACCACCCCCCACACACACAACAACCACCAAACAAACCCACAACCCCCCCCCCACTCAACCCAAAACCACACACAACCAACACCAAACAACAACACCCAAACCCCACCACCACACACACACCACACCACCCCCAACACAACAAAAAACACACCCACCCCAAACCACACAAACCAAAACAACCAACAAACACACAAACAACCAAAACTCACACAAAACAACACACCCCCCCCCCCCAACAAACAACAACACCCACCAAAAAACAAACCCCCAACTACAACACCCCACACAACACCCCCAACAACCCCCACAAACCCAACCCAACACTACCCACACACACCAAACCCACACAAAAACACACACCCACAACAACAACACCAAACAACACTACCCCAACCCCAAAACCAACCAACCCAACCACCCACCCAAAAACCCAACACCACCCAACAAACAAAAACAACCCCCCACACACCCCCCCCCACTCACCCCACTCCCCCCCCCAACACCAAACACCCCTACACCCCCCCCCACCAACACACACACCCACCCACCCCCAAAACACAACCAACCCCAAAACACCCACCATCACTACCTCCCCCCTACAACTTCTCTATCCCCACCACACACATCCACCCATACTCCCCCCCCACCCCTACCCACACCTCCACCCAACACAACTACATATCACCCCACATTAACCACTTATCACCTCATACAAATATCCTCCCCCCATCACCCACCCCCCCCCCCACCTCCCACACCCCATACCCCCCCCCCCCACACCCCCCAAATACACCCCACCCCCCCAACACCCACACCCACCACCACCCACACCCACCAATCCACCCACCCCCCCCAACCCCACCCCCCTACACCACCCCACCCAAACCCACAAACCCTCACCACACAATTTCACCATCCCCAAATATACAATCCCACCACTACATTTCCACCCTCCCACATCCCACACAATTCCTTTTCACCATAACTCAATCACAACCAAACAACCCTACACAACACCACCCACCCCATCACAACAATATCCCACCCCCCCACCCCCCCAAATCACCAAATCCCAAAACCCCACCCCACTCCAACCACCCCCCTACACCACCCCCACAAAACACTCCCAAAACACCCCCCTCTCCAACCCTAACCAAATAACACCCCCATATTCCAAATCTCCACCCCCCTCCACCCCCCCCCCATAACCCCCCACCTCTCCCACCCCCCCCCCTACCAACCCCAACCCTACCCACTCACTATCCCTCACAACCCAATCCCAACCTTAACTTTTCACCCACTCTACACCACAACCCACTACACAACTCATCCCAATAACTCACATACCCCAAACTCCTCCACCCCTTACCCACAACCTTCACCCCCTACACACCAACCACAAATCAAACCACCCTATAACTTCCATACCCCCACCTAACAAAATCTCACAACCAAACCACAAATAACCCACCAAACCCCCCCTCCCTTCCAACCTTCAACAACATACCCCTTCCCCCCTAACATACCCAACAATACCATCTTCCCTCATCCCTTCACCACTTCATTCCCAACAATCCCCACACCTAATTTCAATTCCCCCCCCCCATCCCATACCTCCTACCCTACCAACATCCTCTTCCCCTCCAAAAAATCCATACTCTTTTTCCTCACCACAAAAACAATAACTCTCCCCCCTACTCACATATATTACCTCCATCTTATATTTATTTCCCCTCCCTTTCAATACAATCCCCACAAAACCACCAATATCACTTTACCCCCCCCTACTATTCCCATTATCACCTTCCCTATCTAACATCCCACCCATCCCCCAACCCCCAAACCATACTCTCTCCCCCCACCCCCCTTCCAAACCCAACCCCACCCCTTATACAATTTTACCACATATATCTTTATCTTTCCCAATTTCACATACTCCTTAATCTATCCCCCCTTCCCTCAAACTCCTCACATCCTCATACACAACCTACCCCATACCAAACCTAAACCCTTCTCCCAACCAACACACACATCCCCCACCCCCCCCCCTCCAACATAAAACCCTCTTATTCCCCACCTCCCCTTACCTCCTTCATACATACCTTAATCCCTACCACCCACCCCCCACACCACTCCCCATCTCCTAACTTAACCAAAATCCTCACACTCAATCAACATACATTAATCCCATTCATCCCACATCCCCCCAACATCAAATCTATCTCACATCCCCTCCTCACCAATCCACCTTCGCCCCTAACACCCCCCAACCACATCCTCCATACTACCACCACCCACCCAACCCATCCTCCAATACTCTCCATCCCACCCACACACCCACCCACCCATCCTCACATACTCACCCACCACCACCCATCCTCCCATACTATTCCCACCACCCACCCACCATTCCTCCTACTCCCACCATCCCACCCAACCATCCTCCCATACTCCCACCACCACCCACAATCTCCATACTCCACCACACCACCCACCATCCTCCCATACTCCCATCCATCCCACACCAAACATCCCACCCATTCACCCACCCTCCCTTCCCCCTACTCACAATCCCTACCCCAACCAAACCCCTAAACAAACAATCAAACCTCTATCACAACTCATCACCATTACCCAAAAACTAAAAACAATACCCATCCATAAAACAACACACAACCATACAAACAAACAAACAATCTAACTAACCAAATAATACCAAAAATTACCCCCACTTCCTCTTTAACCTATACGACTCCTTCACCATCCTTTTCCCCACCCCTCCTAAACTCCAACTCCATACGCATTCCCTACATCTTCCACATACCACTATACACCCACCCATACCAAACACCAATTTCCATCCAAACACCATACCCAGACCCTCCAATTCCTCTTCACATAAAACACATAAAACCCATTCAACAAACACCATCCTATTATAATTACTACCCAACATCCTAAATGCCACCAACCACCATATCAATAAACCACATCCAATAATTTCAAAACACCCCCATCCCCACACCAATCCCATTATCAACCCCCTAACCTCAAAATGTCCATTGAAATTGTCCACCATAAACCTCCTTCTATAACCTGTAACCAAGTTCCACCACCGTGACATTCCACTCTCTACACAATCCTCACATCGATGAATATTATTGCTGTTATCACTACTATACCAGAGTATGACCCTTAGGAATCCTGAAACCCATCGGCAAGACCCATTTAAACCACCACCATACCCCATAATTTCCTATTGTCCCAACAAAAATCCCTAAACTTTTCCGATTTCTCCAAACCCCCCACTTACAATTCATAACCCCACACCCCTAAAAAACCCATATCCCCTCTTGTTTCTAATCCCACCCTCCCCATTCCGTAACCCACATACCCTTTCACCCATCTGAACAATCACGCCATCAAGCCACTTACATGACCCATTCCACTACTACATGGTCATACAATACACAAAGACAAAAAATATATTCAATCCACCGAGAGCCTCGACTTATCTATCATCTATTCGCTATTCACAAAACTCATGGAATGCCCCCGTCTATAATAGCTTCAACTACTCGTACCTGCCAGTATGGAGGACCAAAAATGGAAACGTTATACCACCCACCCACCCCACCCACCCACCCTTCCAACACACCACCCACAAATTCCCCAACCCCCCCCACAACCAATTCACATCACCCAACACCACATCCCACCCCACCCACACAAAACAAACTTAACAACAACCCACACACCCCAAAAAAAAACAAAAACACAAAAATCACCAAACCAACATACAAAACCCAAACAACAAACAAACAACATACAACAACCCAAAACCACAAAAACAACAACAAACACCCAAACAACCAACAAACAACATATCAAACACCCAAACAACCAACAAACAAACATACCAAAAACCCAAACAACAAACAAACAAACATACAAACCCCAACCAACCAACAAACAAACATACAAAATATACCCTCACCCAAACAACCAAACAACAAACATACAAAACCAAACAACCAAAAAAACAAAACATACAACATATAATTACATACAAACTTCTTTCCCCCCCCCCTATATCTACCACCCTCTTCAATTCTTTCTATTACTCCTTTCCCCCTCCTCCACCCTACAACTCACCACCCCAACCCACCCATACCCTAAAACTACATCCTAAACTATCATCAACCTCTTCCTTACCCACTCATTTTCCCATTAATTATCATATTCCCTTAATCCCCCCCTACCTAACATAAATATAACATATACTCACTCATCATCCAAAACCCTAACCCCACCCAACCTAAACCCAACCACTCCTATTCACACATCACCCACCAAATCCCAAATATATCCTCTCCTCCTATCACTCTCCAAACACCCACCTCACCCCCTACATCCCCCCCTTCCCCTAATCATTCTAAAATTCCCAATTCCAATATAACAATCAATACCCAACACAAATACCATACACATCCAAACATCCTCAACCAATACCAAACAAAACTCTCTTAAACCTCATAATTTCCCCACCCCCCCTTCTTTCTCCTCAATACCCCCTACTCTCACCATTATATCCTTCCCCTTCCCCACTAAAACCCCACAACATAATACCTTCCCACCCCATCATTCAAATATCCCACTCCAAACCCCTCCCATATTAATCCACACTATATTCTCCTTAATCCAAACCTTAAATATACCCTTTCCCCAACACAAACCACCCCATTAACCACATACATAAACATTATACCTAACTCCACCTCACCCACCTTCTTTAAATTTATAAACCCAACCCACACCCTACTTCCTTAACCATACTATTAAACCCAACATACCACCTCACAAACCCCAACACACACCCCCCTCTCATTAATATTACCTACCCCAAACTACCCTCTCTAATCAACCCCATACACACCCAACCACACCACAAACCTATACAACCTTCACCACATATCCCACAAACCCTTCCACCCCACCCACTTAACACACATTACATAACAAACTCCACTCCAAACCCCCAACCACAATACAACACCAAACAAATAACATACCATCCTATAACACACCCCATCATAACCTATCTATCCCAAATAAACCACCCTAACACCCATCAACATAAAAAAAACACCCCACTTCCAAAACCCAATTCCCTCCCATCCATACCACTCCCTTTCAAAACCAAATTACATAATACATACACAAAAAACTACTACCTCCCCCCCATCCCCATCCACCCCCCTCCACACAAACCCCTCCAAACCCCCCACCTACCCCCTATTTTATTCAAATCCAATCCACCTATACATTCCCCCACCTCTCCCCTATCCCCCCCCACCATACCCCTCATTACCCATCCTCACACACCCTCCACCCTCCACTCAATTACCATACCCCCCAAAACACTCCAACTCTTCCAATCAAATCATTATCTAACCAACCAAACCCCAACTATAATATACCACCCTCTCCCACCCCTCTTAAATCAAATCATATACCCTACCTCCCTACATCCTTTATACATACCAAAAACAACCAAAACCCCAAAACAATACACCCCCCAATAACCTAAAAAAAACCACACAATCTAAAACACAAAAAACCACCTATATCCACCATCCCCTCCACTCAACACCTCCCTCCCCACTACTCTAACCCCCCACCACACATCCCAACCCAACCCAACCCAAAACCCCATCCCCCCCACTACTCCACAATAACCACACAACAAACCCCACACCCCCCCCCCACCCCACCCACCCACCCCACACACCACCCACACCCCCCCCACCCCACCCACCTACAACAAAACACTCAACACCAACCCCCACAAACCCCAAACCCTCACACAAACACACCACCATACCCCAACCCCCCAAACCCACCCCCACACCACAACCCACAACACCCAAAAACAACCACCACACCAACACCCACCACACCACCCCAACACACCTAAACCCACACCCCCCACACAACCACCCAACAACACCCCAACCACCCACCAACCCACAAACCCCACCACCCACACACAACAACCTAAACCACCACCCCCACCCAAACCACAACACCAATCCACCAAACACACCCAAAAACACCACCACAAACACACACAACAACCCAAACACCAACAAACCAACAAACACACAACCACCCACACCCCACACCCCACACAACCCCAACCCCCACAACCCCCAACACACCACACCCCCTCAAACCACACCCAAACCCACCCACACCATCCACAACCCAACCCACCACCCAACCCCATCCACTCACTAAACCCACACCACCCCAAACCACCAACACCTCCCCCACCCAACCCACCCCCCCAACACCCACCCCCCCCCAAACCCCACCAACCCACAACACCAACCCCTCACACCACAAAAAATCCCAATTCACCCATACCCAACACCCCAACCCACAACACACACCCCCCCACAACACACATCCCTAACCCACACCAAACACACCACCCCCCACCAACTCTTCCCACAATCCCCCCTACCAACACACTACCTCAAAAATAATCAACCCCCCCCACACAACCACCCACACCCCACCCCCCCCACAAACAAACCAAAACCCCCCACCACCACAAACAAACCCCACCCCCCCCCCCCAACCCCCTAACACCCCCACCACATCACCCCTACCCCAAACCCACCAACCCAACCACACACCCACAAACACAACCCCACCAACCCCAACACAACCCCCCCCCCCCCACCCACCCCCATTCCACAACCACAAATCCCACAACCACCCCAACAACCCAACCAACCCACACCCACCCTCCCCACAACCCACACCCCCAACCAAACCCCCACACCCCCACCCCACCCCCCAACACCACGCCACAACAACAACCACCCCACACATCCCCCCCACCACCCACCCTACCCCCCCCACCCCCACACACCCCCCAACAACCACCAACCCCCCAACCCACCCCAACACCACCCCCACACCAACCACCCCCCCAACAACCCATCCCCAACACCCACCCCCCCCCCCCCCCACACAACAACAACCCCCCAAACCCCAACCCCACACCCCCCACACCCCAACAACCCACCAACACACCCCACCCCCCACACCCACCAACACCACCCAACACAACCAAACACAAACCAACCACCCCAACACAAACACCAAAAAAAAACACACCAACAAAACACAAAATCACCACCCCCCAACCACAAAACCACCCACCACCCAACCCCCCCCCAACACACCCCCACCAAACACCCACCAACACCCACCACCCACCACCCCCACCCAACCCACCCCCCCACCACCCCAACACACCACAACCCCCCACACCACCACACAAACAAACCCACAACCCAACACACCCCCCCCACACAACAACCACAACACAACACCCCCCCTACACCTATCAACACCATCACCAAAACCCCAAACACCCACCACAACCCAACCCTCCCATCAACCACACACAACATATCACCTCCCACTCAAACCACCCCACTCATCCCCCATCACACTAACACCACCTCATACTATAACCCACTATTCACCCACACTCTATTAATTTCACCACTAACTTCTCCTACTCAAAATCATCCCTCATATAACCTCCTCTTTCCTCACAAACTTTACCCCCAATACTCACATACTTTAACTAACCTCTCCCATACCCTCAATATCTATACCCTCTATCTATAACTCTAATAATACAAAACAAACACTCTACAAAATCTCTACAAAACCTCAAACTCCCCCACCACTAAACCATCAAATACCCCCCTTATTAAACCACCACACACCACTATCATCCCAAAACCCCCCACCCCACAACCCAACAACACCACACCAACAACAATACCCACAAAAAAAAACAACAACACAAACACCAAACCCAACCCAACCAAACAAACAACAACCCCCAACCCAAACACACCCCAACCAAAAACCACACCACAAAAACAAAACAAACCCCCCCCAACCACACACCCCCCTACCACACCCCCAACACCAACACCCAACCCCCCCACCCAACCCCCACACCACCCCCCCCCCCAAACAACCCCACACCACACCACACACACCCAAACACAACACCCCCAACACCCCAAAAAATACCCCCCCACACACCCTCTCCAACCCCTCCCCCCCCCCAAACACACACACCCTCCACACCCCACAAACCCCACAACCACACAACCCCACAACCCCACCCCCCCACACCCCCCCCCCACCCCCCCCCCACCCCCCCCCAACCCCACACCCCCACCCCCCCCCAACACCACACACACACCCACCCCCACCCCCACACAACCACCCACCCCCCATCCCCAACCAACCCTCTCCTACCACCAATACCACAACCTCCCACAACTCCCCCCCCCCCCCCAAAACACAACCCATTAATTCCTCCCACCAATCAAAACTTCAACCCACTCACCACTTAATACACACCAATTTCCTTTTCACCATCCATCCAACACCCACATAATAACCCCTACCCAAACTCCCCCCCCCACAATCCCATAAAATTCCCATAAACCCACCCAACAAATACCCCAACTCAATAATCACCAACCCTCTCCTCCCTCCCCTTACTCCCCAACCCCACACAAAACTACCCAATTATCCTCATCCAACCCAACTCCCCTACCCCCCCACATCCCCCATCACCACAACCCCTAAACCCCCACAACCACCATACCTCATATCACTCCCCATACCAACCAACCTACCACTCCCCATCCCTCACAACCCAATCCCAACCTTAACTTCACCACTCTTACCACACACCACTAAACAAACTCATCATAAACCCACTAACCCCCACAACCTCATCCACCCCTTACCACAACCATTCAACCCATACAAACCAAACCACCCAACATAAACACCCTATAACTTCCATACCCCCACCTAACAAAAATCTCACAAACAAACCACAAACATATCCACAACCCTCCCTTCCAACCTCTACCCAACCATCCCCCTTCCTCAACATACCCCAATACCATCTTCCTCCCATCCCCTCACCCTTAACTTCCAACACTCCACACTAATTTCTATTCCCCCCCCCTCCCATACTCTAACATACCACATCCCTCTTCCTTCCAACAAATCCATACCTCTTTTACCCCCTTCACCCACAAACAACACTATCTCCCACTCACATATATACCTCCCCATTTTATATTAATTTCCCCCCCTTTCAATACATCCCCACAAAAAATCATCACATATTACCCCTACTATCCCCCACCATCATCACCCTATCCCTACTCTAACATCCCACCCATCCCACACCCCCAAACCCTACTCTATCACCCCCCCATCCCCCAAACCCCCCACCCACCCTTTATAAATTTTACATATCTATCTTATCTTCTCCCAATACTCACATACTCCCTTCCCATTATCCCCCCCCCCCCATCCCCCCCTTCAACTCCTCACATTCCAAACACAACTAACCCATACAAAACAAACCCTTCTCCCAACAACCAACAACCCACCCCCCCCCCCTCCACATAAAACCTTTAATTCCCCCTCACCCCCTTACCTCCCTCCTCATACCATCCAAACTAATCCTACACCACCCCCCACACACCCATCTCTACTTACAAATCACTACATCAATCAAATAATTAATCCCATTATCCCACATCCCCCCACCATCAATAATCTACTCCCTCTCACCATCTCACTTCCCCCTCCACCCACACCCACCCATCCTCCCCATACTCCACCCACCCCACCCACCCATCCCCTCCCATACTTCCCTCTCCCACCACCCACCACCCATCCTCCCATATCCCACACCACCCACCCCATCCTCCCTACTCCACCACCACCCACCATCCTCCATACTCCCACACCCACCCACATATCCTCCCAAACATCCCACCCACCACCATCCTCCCATACTCCCACCACCCACCCACCCATCCTCCCATACTCCCACCCACCCACCAACATCCACCCTTCACCCACTCCACCCTTCCCCCCCATACTCACATCACACCCACCCCACCACCCCTACACAAACAAATAAACTCTACCCAACTCACACCCATACCCACAAATAAACAATACCCCCCCATCCATACAAAACAACCACACAACCATACAAAAAAACAAACAAACAAACTAAAACCAAACACCAAAAATTACACCCACCATCTTTTACCTCTACTACTCCTTCAACCATCCTTTTCCCACCCCTCCCTCAAACTCCAAACCTCCCCTCTCTCCGCATCTAATCTTCCAATACACTATCCCCCCACCCCTACCCAAACAACCCATTCCATCCAAACACATCCCTATACCCCTAATTCCTCCTTCACAAAAACCAATATTAAACATTCCCACAAAACCCCAACCCTAATACTAACTTAAACCCCACTCCTCAAATCCCCAAACCCCCCCATCACAAAAACCACCCCCTCAAAAAAATCACAACCACCCCCATCCCACCCAATCCCTCTCATCACCCCCCCAACCCACAAATTCCATAAAAATACCCATAACCACTACTATAACTTCACCCCCTATCCCCCCCTTCCCCTTCCACACAACAAAACCACCACACTAATAATAAAATCTTCTCCACAACAAAAACCATATAATTACCCAATTTACACTTCCCCACTTTCTACCCTAAACCCCCCCAACCCCCAACTAAACCTATATCACCACACAAAAACCTAAACTAATCCTATTTCCTCCACACCCCCCCTAAATTCATACCCACCCCCCCTACAAACCCATATCCCCTTTTATCAATCATCACCCCAATCCTTAACCCACATACTTCCCCCTCAATCCCCCACTCCCAACATCCCAACATTACCTCAACCTAACTACCATTCCCTCCAAACCACCATCCAAAACAAAAACCACACCCTCTATCCACTCCAAACAAAAAAAACTCACCAACCCAATCAATTCCAATCCCTACAAACATCAACACACACTACCCACATCAACATTCTTCCCCCCCCATCACCTACACCCACCCACCCACCACCCACCACCTTCCACCAACCACCCACCAACCAAATTCACCACCCCCCACCCACTAAACCCATCACATACCCACACACTTCCCACCCACCCAACAAAACACCTTAACAAACAACCCCACACACCCAAAAAACACATCATCACCAAACACTTCAAAATGACCTCAGGGATTTTTGATCAGTGAAACATTGTTGAGCAGCGGAGCGGCAAAATGTGACCTTTTTTTGGCCGTTTTTGACAACATTAAATTTGCTCCCGTTTGCACAAACAAAGTCTGATTTGCACAAAACTTTAATACATTGTTCAACTCTAGGGTCTAGGTCATTTGAAAGTGAATGTAATTCACATTGACACATTAGCGCCCCCTACAGACTATTTCAAAGTTTTAGATGGGCATTTTCAAATTTAGTTTTTTCAAAATGTTTGAAATTTTGCACATAAATCTGTTTTGCCCTCTTGATTCAAAAAGTCAATAGGGTCCAAGGCTTATTTTTTACCCTGTTGCCGTGGCGACGACAAACGCTCCCCATTCATTGCAAATGTACACCTCACACAAACATCAAACCAGCCTCGGCCGTTTCACCGATTCGCCTCAAAATCGCTCCACATCATCTCAAAACATGTACCATCAAAATGACCTCAGGGAATTTTGATCCAGTGAAACGTTGTTTGAGCAGCGGAGCGCCAAAAAGTGGCGTATTTTTTTTTCAGTTTTTGACAATAGAAAAATTGCTTCCGTTTGCACAAACAAAGTCTGATTTGCACAAAACTTGAATCCATGGTTCAACTCTTGGGTCTAGGTCATTTGAAAGTTAAAATTTTGAAATTGGCTCTATAGCGCCACCTACAACAGCCAATTTAAAAATGCCTATGGGAGGGGTTCTGAGGTCAAAATTGTCGTGCAAAGAACCATGTAATTTGGAACACATGTTCCTCAATGTCAAGACATTGAAAAATTGTTATTATGGCTAAGCCCTCTGACAAACAGGAAGCCCATAAATTTCATTGCAAAATGGAAAAATGAAAAACCAATCATTTTCATACATGTCGCTTGGAAAGCGACTGCTCCTCGGGCCGTTTCACCGATTGGCCTCAAAATTTGTTCCAAATCATCTCAACAACATTTACCTTCAAAATGACTTCAGGGAATTTTGATCAGTTGAAACGTTGTTTGAGCAGCGGAGCGGCAAAATGTGAGGGTTTTTTTTGGCCGTTTTTGACAACATTACATTTTTTCCCCGTTTGCACAAACAAAGACTGATTTGCATTAAACTTGAATCCATTGTTCAACTCCAGGTTTAGGTCAGGTGAAAGTGAAATATTTGAAATTGGCCCATTAGCGCCCCCTAAAGACTGAGTCAAAGTTTACATGGGGAGCCAAACCAGCTCTACTTATCATATTCATTACAATTTGACTAACAATCTTCTATGGCTACGGGAACAAATCATCACACGGCGGCGCCACCTCCTTTGAGCGGTGCTGCGTGGTACGGTGTGGTGCGGCGTAGTGCGGGCGTTGTGGAGCGGCGCGTTGCGGCTTGGTGCGGGGCGGCGTGGTGCGGGACGGCGTGGTGCGGTGGCGTGGGCGGGTGGCCTTGGTGCGGGGCGGCGTTGGGCGGCGGTGGTGCAGGGCGGTGCGGCGTGGAGCACTTGGGAGTGTGCGCGGTGCGGGGAGTCGCGCGCGGTGCGGCGAGGGCCGTTCGACGCCGCTTGCGGCTTTAATTTATTTCTTCTTTCTTTCTTTCTTTCTTTCTTTCTTTCTTTTTTCTTCTGCACTTTGAGCCTTAATTTGACCCCCTGAACATGCATGAAAAGTTGTTAATTTTGGCCCAAAAATCAGACCTGGCGAAAAATTTGATATTTTGGTGTTTATTTTTATGGGACTCAAAAAATGACAGAACAGCGCCACCTACAACAGCCAAAATAATACCCCTATGGGACTTTTCGGAGGTCAAGTTTGTCGTAGAAACATGAATTTGGTACACATGTTCCTCAAGTCAAGACAAGAAAAAAATATTATTATGGCTCCGCCCTCTGACAAACAGGAAGCCCATAAATTTCACTGCAAAATGGAAAAATGAACAGCAAAAGTTTTCATACATGTCGGTTGGAAAGCGACTCCTCCTCGGCCGTTTCACCGATTCGCCTCAAAATCGCTCCACATCATCTCAACACATGTACCTTCAAATGACCTCAGGGATTTTTGATCAGTGAAACATTGTTTGAGCAGCGGAGCGGCAAAATGTGACCTTTTTTTGGCCGTTTTTGACAACATTAAATTTGCTCCCGTTTGCACAAACAAAGTCTGATTTGCACAAAACTTTAATACATTGTTCAACTCTAGGGTCTAGGTCATTTGAAAGTGAATGTATTCAAATTGACACATTAGCGCCCCCTACAGACTATTTCAAAGTTTTAGATGGGCATTTTCAAATTTAGTTTTTTCAAAATGTTTGAAATTTTGCACATACATCTGTTTTGCCCTCTTGATTCAAAAAGTCAATAGGGTCCAAGGCTTATTTTTTACCCTGTTGCCGTGGCGACGACAAACGCTCCCCATTCATTGCAAATGTACACCTCACACAAACATCAAACCAGCCTCGGCCGTTTCACCGATTCGCCTCAAAATCGCTCCACATCATCTCAACACATTGTACCATCAAAATGACTTCAGGGAATTTTGATCAGTGAAACGTTGTTTG